CTCTTGTTTATCTACTCTTGATACAACATATGGACCAATCGCGGTCATCCGTGCTTTTATAAGAACGAAACGGCGTTTTAGTGACTTTTTCCATACAAATCCCTATCTAGTAGTGCGCAGTCACCCAGTCTCGGTGGAAGTGCGCGAGTTCGATTGGGAATACAGGAGGAAGGGAGCGTCTCAGCGTCCTCGGACCAAGACCATTCGACTCAGCACCACGAAGACTACGATTAGTGAAAATTTGATTTAAGGGTATACTTCCCCTTTAAGCCCTAAAATTGCCTGTTTTGGGGTCATTTTTCAAATTTACCAGTCTCCTGGCTTCTCCAGGTGATTGCAAGTTCTTTCACACATCACAATGAAGCATTTTTGCCAGAAAATCTGGCAATCAGCATTGTTACTAGTACTCAGAAAAATACAGAGGCAATATGCTTTGGTTCTGCAAGAGTGCTCAATGCCTGATTCAGGCAGAGCGGCGTACACAAAGGCACACAATGAAAAACCTTGGCAAATTAATTCCGTTGTGACTCAGAGTTTCATGGCTGAACCAATCATCAGACAACGATAATGGAATAGAAGGCAGCGCTGGTATATCTATGTGGAGAGAGGTGTGATAATACGATAGCGAGAGGAGTAATCGCGTGAATGTATACAGGGACAGGCTATTTCAGAGGCAGATGCAGCAGGCGCAGGTCTAGCGCTAACAAGCACGCGCTTAATCTCACACACCACACCCACACACACACACACACATACTTACATTCACACATATACTAACACCCACACACATACACACATACACGCACACACTAACACACACACATACACCCACCCACAACACCCTAACTTGCACACAGGCGCACGCACACACAAACACCCACCCACCCATAACACCCTAACTCGCACACGCACAAACACACGCACACACGCATATACACACACCTATAGATATATGCACAAACACATACAGAGTTGTTTTTGGAGATGGACGTCGCGGCAAAGTACATGGTGTCCGACTTCTGGCGTCTGGTCAAGCCAGGGATCATTTGTCCAGTCAGGTCGGCAGCCTAACCGTCGGTAAGCTTGTGTATGGATCCCGTTCTGCTCGATGTGGTAGATCACAAACAATTTGATATCGCACAAATTGCCGGATCTCAGCATCGTGCGTACGGTATTTTATATTCAGAAAATCCCAAAGTGTCTCTCTGTGGCTGTCCTATGCCACGAGAAACTCTAATCAGGCTCCTATGTCCTCTGCCTTCATGATTGAATGTCCACTTCGTTTGAACAACGAACACAACAATCGAGGACGGCTTTTTGCAATGAAAAATACAGCTATACTGGAGCTGAAAAAAAGAAGAAAAAAACGTGCTCAGGATGAAACTCGAGTACACGCATACTCTCCCAGCAGGTGAAACGCAATTTTTTTGTGAAAAATACGTGTCGCCGACTGACCAGTAATATCAAGCGTAGATAAACCAGAGTGTGCAACTCGCGGATGGGTTGGCCCATGGCGGAATTTTTTGTTGACGTAATCTTTTCGACGACGCACGCGCTATGAGTCTTTTGGAAAGTTTTCCCTCGTGCACTTGGTCGCATTTGCACTACAAAGTCGGTGCCCAGCACGTGCTCTCACACTGCTCTGCAACAAAATGCGCGTTCTTCTGAAAAAGGTGACGTCAACAAAAAATTCCGCCGTGGGCGGGGGTATCTGCAGATTGTGCAGGAGAGATCCGGAGTTGCACACTCTTGTTTATCTACTCTTGGTAATATCGCCTGACGATTGCTTTTTTTCACTTAAGCTGATGGGTTCCATGCATTCCTTGTGGTATTACTCCAATTTTTTGTGCCAAAAGCGTTGCATGGTCCCCAGAGTGTTATAGTACACATGAAGACTAGACGAGGCCATGTTTCCTGGGATTCTTAGTAGGGCTGCAACGAATATTTGATTTCACAAACGAACGAATACTCACCCATAACAACCGAATAATGAATATTCTCTCAGAATCCATGGGTGCAGTGAATGTGACTGTGCCGATTCAGGAATGTTTTCAGCGTAGCAATATATTTCGCCACTTGATAATTAGATCAGAGTCTGTGCACCCACTTCAGTCTCTCTCTCCAAAACGCGCTTACAGTAGGTGTTGGTCTGTTACACAGCTATCGAGCCGCTTGGCTCTGTTCTCCTTGTTCATTTCTTCCTGAAGCAAAATATTCAGGATCTCGAGAAATCGGGCTGTGAAGTCAACTTCTTGCTCATACCAGCGATGCTTTTTGAAAACATGCCCTGCTATACCCACTGACAAAAAAAGGAAGAGAGAACATCAGGACCTCGATGGGGCCCAGGGAAGACTACAGGTGTAGTATGAAGCAATATTCTTTGAAATGGCTGTCGATCGCGGAGTTCAAATTTTAGTAAGTTGAGATGGGAATTTCCCAACTTATGGCACTTATTGGCAAAAACAAGACTTTTGCCCGGGAAAAACAGAGCGCGGGATCGGTTGTGCAGCGCAGAAGGTTGGAACGTCCTTAAAACGGCTGTTCCAATTGTTCCGAAACCTTTACAGCAAAATTTGCCATGCTCTGATAAGCTCAACTTAGTTGTCCGGATTTCCCTTATCTTCATAGTTTTTAAGACCACAAAACCTGATTGCTAATCTTTTTTGAAATGGCCAAAAGGTCATTGTTGTAGCGCTGTGTTTCATGCACGCAGTGCTGCCAACCTTCCTTATTTTCCGCATTTGTACGGAAAACCCCTCCGTCTGCAGTACGGAATTTGAGCAAAATGCGGAAAATTGAAGGGGATCGATCAGCTACAGATAAGTATGTAGAAGCATGGCAAGCTCAAGCTGAGCGATGGATATCCCAGTGCCAAAGCGAGTGCATGCCATGCTTCGAGTACGCGCAGCACAAAATATCACGTCGTGGTGCAAGTCTCACATGTTTTGCGCAAGCAAATCCAGCCACCGACAAGCATTTGCGTGTCAAAAACAAAACAATACAAGCAGTGCACACGGCAGTACACCGGCAGTATGCAAAAACACTGCAAAATATGGAAAATCAGAAGCCGCAGTACGCAAAAGAGATCCAGCTGATAGACAGTACTGTGCGCATAGCAAAGCTAAGGCAATCCTCAGAGAACTGATAATATGTACATCATCTGACCACAAACTTATATCCAGGCAGGTAGCGTTGCTTGATATTAGTGATACATGATACGGATGGTGTCAGTTTTACATGGGAAGTGAAAATAAGGGAGAGAACACAGCTTACGAGCTCGTTACTCTTGTGTTTATGCCAGCCTTGAAGATGAGGCAAAGAGATTGTAACTGCCAGTACATGTATGGCTACTGTTTAGAAGAGTATCTCTTTGTCGTTGTTACTATAATCGAGTGACACATTCGCACTACAATTCTACGAGTGCTAGTTTGAAATTACGTTATGAATTTGAGCAATTGTTACGTTGTACAGCAGGTACGAACAATTAATATTTACATACTCACCGGTTTTCGTTTCGGAGTCCCGCGCTGTGACTCAGCTAATTTCTATTTCGTTTGCCTTGTATTGTCTGACTAGGGGCGCTGTCACCCCGCCGGGTGCAAGCACCCTTGGACAGAAGCACTTCACTTCACGACAAGTGTTCATTTTCGTTTTCCTCTTCTGCTTCTGTTGCACAGTTTGAACTTTGAATGTGTGCTTTTTTCGTACTCTGCTCTCGATCGGGTCGATCTCCATAATTTTATCTTCCGTTGCCATGACTGGCATTAGTACGCGTTCTGTACTCACTCGCTGCTTGGCACGCTTGCAGCGCGTCTTTTTTCTGTTGCAACCCAGTGCCTGCGTGCACGGTACGGGATTTGCGATGCCACATCAGCGTTGGTGTGTCGTTGTGCTTCGTTGTTGTTTTGTTCTTTGGCTGAGTGTGGTCGTTAAAACTGAAAAAGAACGGGTCGTTGACAAGGCGTGGTTTCGATGTGCATGCCCTCCTGTCAACTCCAAACTAGCTACTGTACTTTGTCTTGAAAATGAATTAATTACTATCGACTCAGTGTCGTGTATCGAGTACTGAATTACTCGATAGCTCGCTGGATAGTTTGAGTCCCGCTCGACAGCTTTAAAATATTAATACACTCATTTCACCCCCCAGAATAAACCGAACCCACATGTCTAGCTGAGAAGCTACACTTTCTTTCTTGTTTTCTTGCAATGGTTGGCTATCATTAGGGATGTCAGCGAACGCACTGCGCAGGCCTCTGCGCATGCATTGCGTCATCGATTTTTTGAACGTGATCGCGGCCGACAGAGAAAACATGGCCGCGGTCTGTTTGCACCGCTGGGAGTCGTAAAATCACTGTTCTTCTGTCCCCGAGACCATTCAAATCATACGCGATACTCGAGGACCCACGAACTCACCACGTTCTCCCCGGTCGATTTCTCTGCAAGTTTGCACATCGTGAAACACTAGTATGAGAGGTGTTCAGGCCAATTTTCAAGGAATTTCCCTGGTTGGATCGTTCCAAAATCGGACTTCCATTTCTCGCTCGCGGCCATTTCTTGCGCGATGGAAGCACCCTGCCCTGGTGAGTAACCAGCATTGCGCTTGGTAGAGAGTTGCTGCAATCAGCTCCCTGATGTCTTCGCTGCCATTGTCAGAAGCGATGGACCATGAATTTGTTTGAGAGGCTCTGGATGCTGCTATTCCTCAGCCTAGTTTTCAGCCATTCCGTGCATCTTCTTCGCACGATTTATTTTGCAAAAATATGAAAGTGTTCATGAGTTTTCTTGTCGGCCGCGCGTAGATGGGCCAGGCTGACCTGCGCAGATGGGCTGCGCAGTGCGTTCGCTGATATCCCTACCATCATCCCTCTCTCGCACTTTGTGTGCCAATTTGTCATGGACCACGGTTTGACTGAAAGAACATAAAAAGAAGTCAATTAAAAGTGGTGCGCAGTCTTCATCTTTTTCGTATCTGATTGCTTGCTTTTGTTTGTGCGACTTAGATTGTACTACACCTGATACAGCCAATGCCAGTATTGCAGCAAATGGTACCGTCAGTTGCACAACCGGATTTGTACAAACAGCTACTTCGGTAAAAGCAAGTTGTAATGACAGAGCTGCAACGCTCAGTACTGATTGGACAGACGTTGGACAATGCAAACGTAAGAAGGCCATTACATTTGCAATCATTGCTTCCCTACGCAGAATCTTTTTGTCAGGTGCAGTATTCGGGTTTTTAGATTGCTTATACTGCAGGACAAGAAAGTATAGTGACAAGCACGAAAAAGAACCATGTAGCGTAAAATTCCCTTAATATGCTCCGGGCGTATACTGAACAAGGGCCTGAAAAGTGGGCGTATGCTTGGGAATTGACCTTAGTTCAGAACGGGCCTATGAGGTGCATATTGCATCGCTTGTGTGTTTCATAGGCATGCATACAATGTTGCACACCTACGCATACACTCGTACAGCATCACAATAGACCATTACCACCTTCCAAATTTTTGTAGTACATACTTGTAAATACAATGATAAACCAAGGGGGTGGGCAAGGTAATAATTTTGGGCATTTGTTGTCTGAAGATGTTGCTCTCCTATTCCCAGCCCTGTGCCATCTCCACACTTAGACAAGACTACGAGATAATACATTTGGAAGACGATTTATTGCAAGTGAACGATGGAAACACAACTGGACAAGACAAACAGAAGATGAATATTGCTTTTCACACAACAGCAGCATGCGCATGCACCGCCACCACGTACACATGATGTAAGCTACACTTAAGAATGAACTGCAACATAACTCCCTCCCCGGAATAGAATCATCCCAGACTCTAATAATCTAAACAGATAAAAAGAGGGAAAGATCACACCAACCACTCAATCATACTGTCGTCGGGATTCTTATACTCTCATTCCCTTAACGATATGCTCGTCCGATGCCTCTCACTCCTGCACGCACATACAGGGGACCGAATGTTTATTCTAGTACCAATGGAGAGTCTCAGGAAAGGCAATGAACAGAACAACAATAATGCGTACTATGCACGCATGCTTGCTGGGTCGCAATCTGCGCAGTCCGTGCGCGGTTCGCACATCGCCCCCGCGGACAGAGCACATGCTCCAAAAGAGGCACGGACAACAATACCACACCAGTCCCACCCAGGAATAAAAAACCAACTGCCTACACTGCCGATTATAGAACTCTGTCCGCCCACCCATAACACTAGCTACGATCGCTGTCACCAATGTGGGAAATAGTCACTTCAAACAACTAACCAAATCACACAAGTCACCCCTTCACCAGCTTATCTAAGTATCACCAAACAAAAAGAACAAAACCCACTGCCTCTGTGTGGACCTCTAGTTATCTTCAAAGAAAAGCTAATAACACTGAGAAAAAGGACACACTTCAGGCTCTTCAAGGCATCAAGGGCGTCAGAAGGTAATTTAGTGTGGTACGGTCAGCCATCTGAAGTACAATCTAATCGTTGGGAAGGGGCGGCTGAGCCAAAAATGTTGGAAAATTAGAGCCCAAATCAGTGCATTTTATTGATTCATGGGGTACTTGGGTCAAATAGTGGTGTCATGACCCGGACTCGACTCGTCGTGAAAGCGACCACGCAATGAGATTCAGCAGCCAAAAGCTGGGCTCCGAAATATTCTAGAGTTCTGTAAGAACCATGATTAGTCCTACGAAGGATTTGGCACTTTCGTTAGTTGAGCAATCATGGCTTACAACTCGTGGCCTCGAGTCACAAGTGTTGTCGTACGGCGGCTACACCTTCAGTACAAGTCGTCAGCATTGTACTCACTACACTGTTGAGCTTGAGGGGACCCTGCTTAGTCCTGCAAGGGAGCTGATACCTTTGTTAGTCGAGCAAGCAAGGCCCCTCTTCTCGCATCGTACGATGTAAAGGGTCCTGCAAGTGCTTCGCGCACTGCGGACTCCGTTATCCCTTTTTGGGAGAGGTCGCGGCTTGACCGTGCAGCGCCCTACGGGGTAATGAGAGGGAAGAGCCTACGGGGCAGAAGATGAAGGGTTACCCAACCAAGACACCGTACGAAGGCGGCGCGCTCTAGCTGCGGCAACATCCGACAGCGTACTCCAGGCTCCGTCGCACGATCGACGTACGAATAACCTCGGACATCACTCATATTTGTAACTCTATCATGTAATGTGGGTGAGCGAGCTCCCCGAAGCTATACTAATATTTCCAACTAATTATTATATCACAATTATACTATAACCAAAACCACATAAAAGCCGCCTTCTTCCAACTAATAAAAGTATCTTCTGATCGCTTCCCTTCAACCTCTGACTACTTTGTGTGAGCCGGAAAACAGGTGAGCTACTTATCTGCTTGAGTCAACTATATTGGTTGACGACCTGGTGCCACTAGATGGATCACCGGCCATGACAGTGGTATGGTCAATGCCGTAGTTACAGTACCGTCTGCGACGCCCCTGCATGCCGGACAGGGAGGTTGAGGCGGATGAGAATAGAGAGGAGGACAGCATCACCGAAGCTATACTAATATTTCCAACTAATTATTATATCACAATTATACTATAACCAAAACCACATAAAAGCCGCCTTCTTCCAACTAATAAAAGTATCTTCTGATCGCTTCCCTTCAACCTCTGACTACTTTGTGTGAGCCGGAAAACAGGAGAGCTACTTATCTGCTTGAGTCAACTATATTGGTTGACGACCTGGTGCCACTAGATGGATCACCGGCCATGACAGTGGTATGGTCAATGCCGTAGTTACAGTACCGTCTGCGACGCCCCTGCATGCCGGACAGGGAGGTTGAGGCGGATGAGAATAGAGAGGAGGACAGCATCATCAATGAGGAGTGAGACAGTGAGTTCTGTGCGGAAAAGAGTGTGAGTGAGCAGGCATGTGAGGGTGAGTGTGAGTGTGTGTGAGAGTGAGTGTGAGCGGGAATGTGAGAGTGAGTGTGGGCGTGTGTGCGGAAGCAACAAATTGTCAGTTTATAGTCATCTATAAACGAGGGTTTCGGAGACAGCAGTTTTAATATAGCAACAAGGACGACTAATTGCACTGTAAGCATTTCCTAAATGTCGACATGTATGAGTAAAATGTGAAACGATGATTGCAAGGCACACAGTGAAAAGGAAAGAGAGGATTTGTTCAGAACTGTTTTCTTGTTATATTCATCAGTGAATCTGCCCTGATTGTTGTCACTCATACTCAGATTCTTCTTTCACTGTGTTGTGTCATGCGAGTCATACTCACAGTATGCAGCATGGTTGTGTTGTGATCACAGGAGTGTGATTCCCACCTACTGTAAAAGCAGAAATTTTCGGTGGTGTTATATTTTCGGTAACTTCGGTGCCGACAATTTTTACCCATAATAAAACGCATCGAAAATTTCGGTACAACCGATACTGTATACATGTAGTACTAGCACACTTACCTGGAAAACGGGTTTTACCGAAAATTTCCCTCTGCCGAACCGCCGATTTTGGAGAATACCGAAAATATTACACCACCGAAAATTTCTGCTTTTACAGTACTTATAAATGTGACGTCATGTACATGTATGTGCTGTGTACATTTTGCGTCATGGGTCTCTGTTTCTTACATTGGCTGCAAGTCGCCCTGGCTGCGGGACAATAACGCTTTCCAGCAGGATGCAGCTGCCCACAGTAGCCACATGCTTCACTCAAGCGGTGTGCTGGTGCCAAGTCAACATGAACAGGTGTCGACTTCACTGGTGCTGTAAGTTCCTTTGACTGGACCGATCCACATACGCTACAGTTTCCACCGCGGCACCACTCATCTGTTGCTCGCCTATGGTTTCTGCAGCCAGGGTGACAGCCTGCGCTTGTTCTGTCACTTTCTCGAAGGTCGTCTCGCCCTGTTCAAATACTTTCTGGCGGGTGTACGCCGACTTCAAACCACGAGCGAAAAGGTGCACAGACACATCATCCAGAATCTTGTCCACCGACGCCGCCGCTGTCAAATGGCAATCGCGCATCTCCTTTTGAAGGCGATGCCGATACTCGGGGATCGACTCGCCATCTCTCTGTGCCACAGAAAAGAGTGCGGCGAGTCGGGACGTTCTGCTCCGTTTGCCTCCGAAATATTGTTCAAATAAATCTACGAGGGCCTGGTACGGATCGTCTCCGGATGGGATGTCAGGGTACCTCTGCCACAGGTAGTAGGCAGCTTGCTCGCCTAAATTAGACGCGGCAGCAAGATAACGTTCCTTCTTGTCCGCCACTTGGTGGAACTGAAATTTTATACTCAGCTGGCTCAGCCAAGTTTGGAAGTGGTCCGCTCCGCACTCGTGATCGAGATCGAGCTTGACGGACACCTTTATCTTCGCTGCCATCTCGCGAGTCGTCACGGCTGCCACGAGCTGAGCTACTAGTATATCCTGTTCACTGCGCCAAAATGTTGGGTTCGGTCAGACAAGACAACATTGGTGCTAGTTTCAGTTCTTGTCCAAAACAAACTCAAATCAAATATCCGAATCCAAAAACCTAAACAGTGTACGAAAACAGTGCCCACGCGCTTGCGCATCAGTAAGCACGCAGAACTAAGCAATCACATGAAAGATCCGCTCACAAAACATGCATACAACACAGAATAATAAAACAGAGACCCATGACGCATAATGTACACAGCACATACATGTACATGATGTCACATTTATAAGTAGGTGGGAATCACACTCCTGTGATCACAACAGGTTGCACGGCGCATGCGTAGTGGGGAACAAAAGTAATGTAACGCTTGAGCTTCAGACATCTGCAGAACTTTGAATCACCGTTCTCTGTTGAGTAAAACTTCAGAACTGATGAAATTTGTGGATGTGGGCACAGTATATTGCTCAGGCGCAATAGGGCAGCTCTGAAAATATATTAGGGCGGTTCTGCTGCTCATGTTGTGTATAAAGTCGCGGTTATTGGAACAAGGAGGCCTGTACCTTTCCAAAGAGACCAAGATGAAGAAATTCCAAAGCTGGTGAATGAAATTGGATAAATTTCTAATTCGTTCTGCGACTGTGGCGTGCCTCTATGCATACCCTGTTCCTCCCGTCTGTTCAGGTTTTGCTTTGTTTTGCTGATGTGGATGATTTACACATGCACGTTGTTAGCTGCTCTAACTGTCCCCCACCGAATACATGTAGTATAATCACCTTTTTGTTTTGCTCTTCTCTTTTTTACACTTCTTTCACTTATATTTGTCCATAAAAGATTTACTCAGATGGAGAGCCAAAGTTTAATTTATATATATTGTTTAGTAACTGGTGGTGTTAGTGGACAGTATAGCGTAACTTGTAGTTCCTTGGTCTTTCTCTTTTACATAAACGATTTGTTCCACTCAATCTGCGGAAAGAACAGTTTCGTCCTTTGTGAACTTACCAGCGCAGCACAGAGAAAATGAACCTGATAGCAATGAAACTAAATTTTCCAAAGCCAGATTTAAACCAGGCCTGAACATACCTTGCCGGAGTGCTCAAAGGCTGACAAGTCAGTGAGCTCTGCATAACGCAAACAGCAAAGGCACTACCCCACGCGAGAGTGCTCGGCTTCTACAAGAGCAGGAGCCAAATACTCAATCTGCGGACAGAACTCTTTCGTCCTTTGTGGACTCATGAGCGAAGATTTGTTTCAAGTAGTCCCCACTCCATTGTTATGTAGATTCACTGATGAATGTAACAAGAAACTGTTCCGGACAAATCCTCTCCTTTCTTTTCGTTGTGTGCCTTGCGACCATCGTTCTACATTTCACTCATACATGTCGACATCTGCGAAATGCTTACAGTGCAATTAGTTGCCTTGTCGCTATATTATAGTCATCTAGTTAGTGTTTATATCCATCGTGTAAACTGTTCTAAATTGATTCCGAGCCCATATTTGACAAAAAGATTATCTGGTTGGGTGGCGGGGGGGAGGGTCTCCCCAGACTCCTCTGATTTCTCGCCTCCCCACTGTTGTACCGCTTTAAAAGAGTCTGTGACCCTGATTGGTGTTGTTCTTCTGGTTGTGCAGCTGTATGTAATTTGCCATCTATTATGAATCATGCAAGCATAATTGGAACTGGTTCTCAGGTCCTCAACAAGTACACAATGTACGATGTCACTTGTAAATCAGGATTCTACCGCCACCCATCAATGTATCAAAGGGAGTGCAGAACGGCAAATGGAGGCTTCTCACAAGTACCCTCATGTCGGAGTATGTTTATAGTCATTGCTCTTGTCGTTGCGGTTGCTGTTGGTGTTATTGCGGCTGTTGTTGCTTGTGGTGGCGGTGGTGGTGGTGGCGGTGGCGGTGGCGGTGGTGGCGGCGGCGGTGGTGATGGCGGCGGCGGTGGTGATGGCGGTGGCGGTGGTTGTGGTGGTTGGTGTTTTGTATTTGTATTTATGGATTCTCCACAGGCCTTAGCCTAAATCGAGGGAGTCTTCGTCAACAGCTTATGAAGAAGAAGCTGAGGAGAAAAATAAAAATAGGAAATAGAATGATGCGGGGTGGTAGTACTATAACACAGTGCTCTATGACATCGCTTCTGTCGCGGCGACCTTGTCGCGCGATTTGTATCATGTTTGTGCCTGTTCTTGTTTCAGTACAAAACGCTAGTTCCATGCCCACGTTCCCGTGCTTTGTATGACTTGTTCTGGCCCACGTATGCATGACTGTACATGTACTTGTCAAGGCACGTGCATGCAGCACAGTTTGGCGCACTTTTGCGAATGTGTTTTTCTTCTCCCACGGTGGTGGGTTATGCTGCGTTTTCTTGGACACGAGTGGTTTTCAGTTTTGTTGTTCTCTAGTATTATTCTGGAAAGAGCGATTACTACAGACTCCTTTGTTCTATGATGTGTGCCACCTGTAGAGGTGAGATCGGACTTGTGACCTGTGTTGATAAATCGAGAGATTGGGAATTCTAATCTTTCGACATGGTGCTTTAGTGACCAGAGATTTTCCTCAGTTTATTTAGTAAATTCCGACCAGAGTGATGGAGACTATCGCCCAGCTTGTAAAGTTTAGGGCAAACACGAAGCGACGACTCACACGCCTTCGCCACAATTTAACCCGGGAGCTTGCCAAAGACGCTCCATCACCACACTACCTGCTACGAGATTGGCAACAGGCTGAACGCCTTGCAGCTGAAATCAATGCCACACAGGCTAGACTCCGCGATCTGACCGAACAGGCGACTTCCTCGGATGTTGAGGACCGCCTGGAGCAACTCGACAAGTGGGAGTTCGAGTTCGACGATGACCTGGAAGTCCTGAGGGACGCACGTACCGTTCTACAGAGGGAGAACCCGTCCGGACTCGCCACAGCAGATGCGGAACTGGAGGCAATCGCCAACTCGAGTCGCTCCAGTGCCCCACAGCCCTCACCCACGACGTCCCCATCCTCTGCCTTGACCAGCGTATCCTTCAGCCCATCAGCAGTGGTGGTCCACTCCAAGGGTCCACCTTCCGCTCCTGCGAGCTCTCCTGTGACTGCTGTTAGTCCTGTCCCTGCTACTGGCTCTCCAGCCACTCCAGTCGTCCCGTCTCCGAATTTTCGCTTCCGCATTCCCATTGTAGTGTATGTACCAGACATGTATTCATCTAATTGCAAGTACTATTGATCCACCCTAAAACCACAACCGCTTAGGCATGAACTCTCTATAGCAATTCATTGTACTGCCACCCAACACCCAACGCATCCCGCACCCGGGATACAACTCCTATATCCTCTAGCACAATTATACCTCAACGCTTCTTATTGCTTTGCAACCGTAGAATAAACTTGTATGTAAACTCTACGTGTGAACCCACAGTCTCTTGGTTAGAGACACAAGACACCCGATCCCGTATCAGATACAGACAGTGACTCCGACTGGTCCAGTTCCAGTTCCGCCGGCACTCGGTCTTCTGGCGGGACATCTCGTAAACCGAAGCGATCACCCTCTTCCAGGGTGCCTGGTACCTCAGTGCGAACTGGGGGTAGTGCCGCCACGAGTGCCACTCCTCCTCCACCATCTGCCAAACCAGCAGTGACAGCAATTCACTTGCCGAAGCTGACCGTGCCCACCTTCAATGGTGACACACTTGCCTGGCCCGCATTCTGGGACATGTTTTCTGCGTCTGTAGACGCCCAGCCACTTCCGGATGTGTCCAAGTTCACATATCTGCGCACAGCGTTAAGCGGTCCACCGAACCGCTTGATTGCAGGCTTAGCGGTCACGAACGACAACTTTCCCATCGCCCTGGAAGCCCTGAGGGAGGAGTATGGGAAGCCGGAGGTCATCGTCACCAAGCTCTACCGACACCTGCAACAACTCCCTCCATCGTCCTCCCAATTGGCGTCTATCAAGGTCACGCAGGAGACCGTTCACAACCTCCTCAGACAACTGGAGGCACAGGGCGAAAACCTCCGTGGTCAGAACCTGGTCAGCCAGCAGATCCTGTCGAAGTTCCCCCTCGAGGTGACCACCAAGCTGGAGGAGTGGCGTCCTCTTTCTGAAGCCTCAATGGTGTGGGATGTCAAGACACTGATGCAGGCTCTCAAACGGTACGTCACCCTGCATGAGCGTGCCCAACAAAACTTCAGCTTTTCCGACCACCTGATGACCGCTGTATCTGATCATGTTGCTAGCGGACGTGCTCTATTGGTGTCAGCAGCGCAACAGCAAACAACCTCGCGGGCCCCTTCACAGCTGCGTCACTCAAGTGCATCACAAAAGTCCTCTGGATTTCGCTCACCCTGCGTCTACTGCGGTGGTAACCACGGTCATGATGACTGTCTGACGTACGGCACAGAGCAAACCCGCAAGGCCCAGCTTCTCAAGACACAACGCTGCTTCCGGTGTCTTGGCAAGGGTCATCAAGCTGCTGCTTGCACTCGGGCACGGACATGCCGCCACTGTCAGATCACCAACCGCCACTACGCGTCTATTTGTCCAACACTGTTCGCTAGCCAGCATACCACTCAAGCTGCTGTCCACAACCCTCCCCTCGGTAGTCAGTAGCCAGAGCACGCTTCAGATCCTCCGGGAAGCCCCACCACTGTAGCTTCCGGTCACGGTGTCTCACTGCTAACGTCTACCTGCAGACGGCCAAGGTGACACTCCACAATGGCGGGCAATCACTTTCCGCTCGTGTACTTCTTGACAGCGGCAGTCAACGTACCTTTCTCACAAGTTCCGCCGTGGAGTCACTTGGACTTCCTGTTCGGTGTACGGAGTATCTGCACGTGTCCACATTTGCCAGTAGTGGGCCGCAGCGACTACAGGCCAATGTTGTCGACTTCGAGCTGGCACTACAAGATGGCTCCCTGCTCCCTCTGACAGCCCATGTTCTGCCAAAAATCACCGACCCTGTCCATCGCAGTGCGATTCCTGATCAAGACCGACAGTTCCTGCAGTCGCTATCTTCTAGTCTGGCTGACAACCTTCCAGACACATCTGAGAAGGCATCCGTTGACCTGTTAATCGGCACGGATTACTTCTGGAGCATTATTCAACAGGACCGGATCGTGTTGCCGTCGGGTCTGTTGCTCCTCCCATCGCGTCTGGGTTACATCCTTACTGGCTGCTGTGCTCCGTCACATGATGACTCCAGCCAAACATCCACACTGCTGTGTCACACCGCTGTACGCCTTGCCTCCCATCAGCTCCAAGTAATGGATTCCACGCCGCGGTCGACACTCACACCCAACCTGACCGAGATGTGGAATTTGGATCGGATTGGCATCCACGACTGCCCCGACGTCACTGCTGATGACCTGGCGCTCTGCCATTTCCAGGACCACATCCAGTTCACTGGTGGCCGGTACGAAGTGGCCTGGCCATGGAAATCGGAACCACCTGACCTGCCAACCAACTATGGCCTCGCATTTGGCCGGTTGTCTACGTTGTGCCGTCGCTTAGCCAATGATTCCGACCTCCGACAGCAGTACGACAAGGTCATCCAATCGCAAGTTGACCTGGGGATCATCGAGCCTGTCGCGAACCCACCGCCTATGGGCACGCCACAGCACTATTTGCCCCATCAGCCAGTTATAACGCCGTCGAAACAGACCACGAAGCTACGCATTGTCTACGATGCCTCGGCGAAGACAACGAAGCAGTCGAAAAGCCTGAACGAATGCACGCACCGGGGCCCTATCCGTCTGCCCAACCTCTGTGGTATGCTCCTGCGCTTTCGGTGCTACAACGTTGCCATTGTTGCTGACATCGAGAAGGCGTTTCTTCAACTGCGTATCCGGAAGGAAGACCGCGATGTGACACGTTTTCTCTGGCTCAGGGATGCTACGAATCCTCACCTGACCAAGGACAACCTTGCGGTTTACCGGTTCTGCAGAATGCCCTTTGGTGTAATTGCTAGCCCATTTCTATTGGAAGTCACAATCCGCCATCACCTACAGCGCCACCCGTCGCCATTGTCTGAAACGATTGCCAGGAATATCTACGTCGACAACGTTGTCATTGGCGTCCGGACCGATGAAGAAGCATTGCCCGTCCACGACCAGGCCAAGAGTATCTTTGCCGAGGCGTCAATGAACTTACGTGAATGGACCAGCAGCTCGGCCGTGGTTCGTGCCGCTCTCCCTGAAGATGATCTTCTCACCTCCCGTCGCACCAAGGTTCTCGGTCTCCTCTGGGATACACATGCCGATGTTCTTACCATCCCAGAGAGTAAGGTGCTGCGGTGTCCGTCTCAGCCTGTCACCAAGCGCACTATCCTGAGCGGTCTCTCTAGCCTGTATGACCCGCTTGGCCTGCTACTACCCATCACTCTTCAGGCCCGACTCCTCCTGAGAGAATTATGGCAAGTTCAGCTCGATTGGGACTCGCCGCTACCAGCACATCTGGCCGACAGGTGGGCAGCTATCTCGACTATGATGTCAACCGCTACGTCACTACCTGTCCCTTGACTCTGTGGTCCGGTTGCCACCGAGACAGATGTTCAACTACACATCTTCACAGACGCATCAGCCGAGGTATATGCTGCTATTGCGTATTTACGGATCTCCGTTGGTGAGGTGCATCACAGCGGACTCATCTACAGCAAGTTGCGCTTGGCTCCGATGCCCAAACTCGATGCAGGCGGCACTGCTTCGTTGACCATCCCGCGTCTGGAGTTACTTGGTGTGACAATCGGTGCTCGACTATCCCGATTTCTACATGACCAACTTCATCTGCCGATCTTGTCCACAACGTTATGGACAGACTCCAA